ACGTGCTCAGCTACTATGCTTGGTGCAGCAATTACAGGTTATTCTCTGGAAACCTGCAGGATCCAGGGCTAGAGATCAGCCAATGCCATTTCTGGCAAACTATGGACAAGTGAGTAATAGAGATGCTTGTAACAGAGTAATGCTTGTATGCCAGAAGGTGTGCTTAGTTAGCCTGCAGTATTAGGAAATCCTTCTCTATTTCTTGGTCAACTTAGACTTAACTTTTTTTTCCTGGTGATGTTGATTTCTCCACAGGGGGACAAGTGGATCTCTGAGGCAAGCAGCAAAGTGTTCTGCTTAGAGTAGCAGTTGTGGTGTCCAGCTTGTTCTCTTGAGAGAGATGTTACTACTGGTGGACAGGCTGAATTTGTCAATAATACTTTGAGGAAGATGCCTCACACTAGCAGAATTAAGCAAGGCGTAGCTGGACTGAGAATGGGTAATGAGCTGACAGCTATTGTGACAAAACTGTATATACAGATTGAACAGCACTGGTATGCCTTTCATTGCGACCAATAGTGTGCTTCCTATTAGCATTGTGGCACCTCAAGCAATTTCCTGTGCTGTCATTGCTAGAAAGCCTGGCAAACTATTACTGAAACCAAAACCCAAGAGCAATGTGGGATCTGGGGACTCCATTGTTCCACCACCTCCTATAAAACACAGCATGAACATTGGAACTTGGGATGAAAAGGAGTCAGTGGTAAAGGCTCCACCAACCAATTCTGCCTCCTCAAACTGTAATCCAGCAGCCTCAGCCAATAATTCAAACACCAACATTTATGCAAAGCCAACTGCCTTAATGGCAGCCTTAGCCACCACAACCACAGCAGCAACAAGGCCCTCAGCCACAGGCCCAGCTCCACCACATGCAGCCTCAACAGTGGTAGCTGCACGATCGCTGGGCAGATCCAAGGAATAGAGGACCAGTCTTCAAACACAACCACGGAGTGGGCAGTAAGAACGTTGGTTTAGGTGTTGTACCTACCAGTGCTTCACCTAGTGTAGAAGTGCATTCCATGCTGGAAAAGCTAAAGGCCTTAAACAACTATAATCCAGAAGACTTTAATTAAAACCTGAAGAGCGGACATGTGTTTATAATTAAAAGTTACTCTGAAGATGACATATTTAGTTCTATTAAAGTACTCTGTCTGGTGCAGTTCTGAGGATGATAAAGTGTTTGGATGCAGTTTACCGATCCATGAATAATACTCACTCTATTTATTCTTCAGTATGAGCGGCAGTGGAAATTTTTGTAGGGTGGTCAAAATGAAGTCTTTTGTGGACTTTAATTCCAGTGTCTGGTCTCAGGATAAATGGAAGGGCAAAATTGCAGTCAAAATGGTTCTTTGTCAAAGATGTTCCAAATAACCATTTATAGCATATTAGCTTAGAAAACAGTGACAACAAACTACTAATTCAAGGATGTTCAAGTGATACCCATAGAAAAAGCAAGGCAAAAGTTTAAAATCATTTCTATTTTTAAGCATGCTACCTCAGTTTGAATGAGTCTACACACTATGAAAAATGTCAAGAGGGTGAAGTCATGCATAGGGAGAGATAGAAATAATCAATAACCATATGCAGATGTCCTGTTAAAATTACTAAACTAATGATGTAGACTCCGATAATGTCTAGTAAGTCAAAAAAAAGATGTTAGTAAAACTTGCTTTTTTTTCTGCTTAAATTGACATCTTGTTTATTTCTTTTAAAAGATTTTTTCATGTTTTAGATGATGTTTACATACTTGATCAGGGTTGGAAGAATCGAAGATTAGGGGAAAGTAGGTGTGACCATTGTTTCCAAATATTCTGTTTCTTCTTCCTGTGTCTGGAAGGAAGGGGAGATAAGGAAAGAAGTCGCACCCAACCTCCCAATCACCCCAGTACCCAGGGATGGGGAATGGCTGCCCGATATCAACCCAGGGTCCCAATGTGGCACATGCTCTGAGGATTCTGCCCTAGTGGTTTCAGTAGTTCTGAAATTCTATAGATATCACCAATCCAGGGATGAGGAACCCTTCCCAATATCCACTAACTGACATAGTAGACCTTAGAGTCTTCATTCATCCAGATTTTTACTGTCATCATTTGGCTGGAGTAGTCGTCCATTTGTTCTGTTCTTCTTCCTCTGCTATGGTACCAGATGTCTTCTGCAGGACCCAATGGGCTGCTAGATTTTCCATGTGCATCAGGTGCTATCTACTGCTCCATCTATTCTCGCAGGTGAGTATAAGTACCTAGGACAGGTGACCCAGGCCTCTCCGGGGCCCCGCCACCAGGACTGATGGACCTGGCACCTATCACACAGGTGGGCTGAAGGACCCAGGCCAGGTCACCTGGACCGCACCAGATACCCTGTCCCTGGGGCTTAGCAACCCAGCACCCACTGCCTCCAGACTGGCATGGCTTACCTCACCTCAGCATCCACCAGTGGGTGCTGCAACCTGGCTACCTTCAGTGTGCACTCAATTCCAGCTCCTGCTGGCAAGTGCTTGAGCCTAGCCACACCCAGCCAGCTCCCAGTGTTCGCCATAATGTGAACTAGCTGGTGTTGCAGCCAGACTCAGCTCTTCCTTCACCCAGTGGACGTTGTGAACTGCCAGTGGATGTTATGAACTGGCCCAGCCTGGCTCATCCCCAGACCTGACTCGGCTGTCTGCTGGAAGGTACTGTAACCTGGCCTGGTTTGGGCTGCTCCAGGCTTTGATGTGTGCACTCACCTGCAGAGACTGAATCCTGGCCAATGGAGTTCCCCAAACTCCTCTATCAGGTCTCCTCCCAGTGGCAGATCTCACTTACACTGGTGTGTCCTTGGTCCAGATTAGCTTTGTCTAACTCTTGTCCTGGCAGGTACAGTGTCCTTGCTCAATAGGGCCACAGCCTTTCCGGTTCTTATTGTTGGGAATTGCAGCCCAACAACCTCTGATCCATGCCCTGACATAGCTCTCATGTAGTTCAGTGGAAGCCAAGACCTAGCCCAGCCCATTCTATACCCACCCTAGCTCTCATGAGTACCAAGTGCCTAATCTGGCACTTTCCAGACCCAGTCCACACCTATGCCAAAGGAGACTGCACCGTGTCCAGTCCAATGTGCTGCCCCATTGCAGCTCTCATGCTCACCAGTGGGAACCCCAACCCAGTCAGGGCATCATTTAGTTCCCCAACCAGGCTACAGATCTTGCATATGCCAATGGAGATTGCTATTCCACAGGGTGAGCCCACATACTTCCATATACCCAGATTCTGCTCCCAGACCTGAATCTCTCTCATGTACTTGTGTATGTCATGGCCCAGCGTAGCATTGTCCATTCCCTGTTCCAAGTCTCACTGGCAGGCCATGATTTAGCCTTGCCAGGTTTTCTTCAGTATACCTGCCCTAAGCACGCTTGAGAGCTGTAACTTCATCAAGCACTTTTCTGTCCTGAAGCTGCTACCAGTATCTGCTGTCTTTTGTGGTTATGCATCCTAAGCCACAGAAGACTAAATGAACACAAGGATTCATCGTGAACTCTCTGAATTTATTGAGTGTTAACAGTTAACCATTAGAAATGGCTCAGTGATGCGAGAGTCACACTGCTTCAATGTTTTACTTTGTTGAGGTTTTTACATCATTGACTTTTAGCTATTTGATTTATCAAAACAATCATGCCACATTTAGTCCTGAAGTTGAAGTCTAAATGTTGATGTGAAAAAAATTATTTTAGTAAACTTGTAATATAGCAAAGCATCCTTAAGCTCTATTTTAACAAAATGAAACATAATATGTAATTATATTAGAATATCTATCTTTAAACTGGTATAATAGATTGCTGACATGCAGTTTGTGGGCGTCACCAGTTACTGAACACTCTTCTCTCCCCACCTAAATAATATGCACACTCACAAGATGCATTTGTCTGAGGAAGTATTTTGTTTGCTGCCACGTAACCAAATCTCAGTCTCATTAGACTTTTTATGACCTTTTATAATTATAGTTAAAACCTTTAATTCCTACATCTGGATGTTTGTGAGCCTGATTGCTATCATGAAGTAAAATTTTACTACTCCAGGTATTCATTAGCTAAATAAACAATGTTCTTATTTAGCAAGCCCATATGGTCTCCAGTTCCTATCTAGCTATTGCAGTGCCCTGACATTCTTAAAATACTTTGAAAGTACGGCCTTGAAACATGATGAACTCAGTGTCTAAATAATTGGAAAATCAGCAAGTATCTGCCTATTCTTATAGTTATATTTTTAATAACTTGTTTCTTCATTAACTGCATTCAACAAAACACCAAAACAAATTGATTTTGAATAACTGTGCAAGCATCTGTATTATTTATTTTGATGGCATAAGGTTATAAAAATGATGGACTGCTCCTTATATTTCCATTCAAAAGGAGAAAGTTATGCAAAAAGATATATGTGTGTTTAAGTCTTTTATTTTCATTTTTCAGTTTACAGTTTTGTAGGTTTAGTGCTTTCCCCCTTATTTTTTAGTTTTTTTAAATTATTTATTCATTTTTATTGCAAAGTAGTTATACAGAGAAGAAGAGAGATAGAGAGGAAGATCTTCCATCTGATGTTTGACTCCCCAAGTGGCATCAACAGTGGGAGCTGTGCTGATCCAAAGCTAGGAGCCAGGAGCCTCCTCCGGGTTTCCCATGGATGCAGGGTCCCAAGGCTTTGGGTCATCATGACTGTTTTCCCAGGTCACAAGCAGGGAGCGGGCTAGAAAATGGGGCCTCTGTGATTAGAACCAGTGCCAATATGGGATCCCGGGGCATTCAAGGCGAGAACTTTAGCTGCTAGGCTACCGCGCCAGGCCCTAGTTTTGTTTTTCATGACACAGTTCCATGGGCTTAGTGATTTCCCATTCCATCCTCCCAGTTCCCCCGCTACCACTGTTTCTCCCCTCCACCATGATTTCAATGATGTAGTCCTTTAGCAATGGTCACAAGTGCATCATTCTTCTATATAAGTGGAGGAGGGGCCCCTGGAGCCGGCCATTGTGGAGGCCTTTGACCAAGCCTGGGACTTGATTGCCCATGAATGTCCCAGCTACTTCCGCTAAGCCCCAGGTGGCACATGTGTCCCAGTCTGTGTGTCACCCCCTGAACCCCTCTGCCTTTCGCTGACCACGTGTGGTCTCTGCTGACTTCTAGTCCCAGCCTACTCTTCTAGACTCCTGCCTTGTGCCTTTACAGTGTGGGATGCTGCCCCACATGGTAGGTCCTGTGGAATAAAGCCGCCCTGCCTTGGCTGAAGCTGGGCTCAGATGAAATCTAACCCCCCCCCCCCCAAACAAATAGTGCTTTCTATGTTAAAGCATTGTTGGTATAGAAGAACGCTATTCATTTTTGTGTGTTGATTTTGTTTGCTGCAACTTTGCTAAATTCTCTCGTGAGTTAGATTGCTTCTTAGTAGGATTTTGGTTCCTCTAGATAAAGCAACGCGTTGTCTAAAAGCATGATCCTTTGACTTCCTCTTTTTCCAATGTGTATCACTTTGATTAATTTTCTTTTCCTAATGTCTAAATCACCCTGACCAATGTTGAATAAGCATGGGCATCGTTATCCAGGTCCGGATCTTAGTGGAAATGTTTGCAGCTTTTCCTTATTCATTGTGATGATGACTGTGTGTTTAGTATACGTATCTTTAATTTTGTTTATATTCCTCTTTGGTCCCCTTTTAAGAAGCTCCCCCCTTTTTTTTTTTAATCAAAGAAGAATGTTACATTTTATCAGATGATTTTTTTTTTGCATTCATTGAGTTAGTCACATGGGTGTGATGTTTTACATTTTTATTGATTTGTATATTTTGAACCATATTATTACATCTGGGATAAATCCATTGGTCAGGGTGAGTTACATTTTGACGTGTTGTTGGAATCATTTGCTATTTTGTTGAGGATTTTTGCATCTGTATTTATCTGGGAAATTCATCTTTTTTTGCTGTTCTTTTCCTGGTTTTAAAATTAAGGTAATGCTGGCTTCATTGGATGAATGTAGACGACTCCTTTCCATTTTAATTGTTTTGAATAATTTAAGATGAAATGGCAAAGTTCTTCCATAAAAGTTTGCCTGAATTCAGTATTGAAACCATGCACTATTGGGCTTTTTTTTTTGGTTGGAAGGTTCTTTACTACTGATTCAGTATCAGCCCTGTTTTGAGGTTTCGTCAGATTTCCTATTTTTGTGCCTCAATTTTGGTAAATTACGTGTGTCTAGAAATCTGCCTGTTTCCACCAATTTGTTGGTATATGGTTGTTGGCAATAATTCCTAATAATTTTTTGAATTTCTGTGGTTTCAATTTTAACATTTACTTTTCCATCTCTGATTTCATTAATTTGAGTTTTTCCCCATTTTGCTTTGTTGGGTCAGTGGTTTCACAATTTTGCTATATCTTTAGAAAACTAGTTCTTATTGTCAGTGATGATTTTGTAATTCCTAAAATGTTTTGTTTATTTATTGCCCGATTCTTATTACTTTTTTATTTCACAAATTTTGGCTCTGTTTTGTTTTTTCTTGGTCCTTGATATGTATTGTTAGAGCATTTACTTACTATATTACCATTTTTCTTTTTTTATTTTTAAGATTCATTCATTTTTATTGGAAAGTCAGATTTACAGAAAGAAGGAGATACAGAGAGAAAGACCTTCTGTTTGCTGGTTTACTTCCCAAGTAGCCACAATGGCTGGAGCTGAGCCATTATGAAGCCAGGAGTCAAGAGCTTCTTCTAGGTCTCCCATGTGGGTGCAGGGTTCCAAGGTTATAGGTCATCCTCGACTGCTTTCCCAGTACACAAACAGGGAGCTGGAAGGGAAATGGAACAACAGGGATACGAACTAGCATCCCTATGGGATCCTATTACATGTAAGGTGAGGACTTTAGCCACTAGGCTACTGAGCCAGGCCCTATTACCATTTTTCTACTTGGGCACTACTTTTTTTTTTTTTTAATTACATTGCATTATGTGACACAGTTTTAGGCACTGGGTTCTCCCCTCCCCCAACCCTCCTCCTATGGTGGATTCCTCCACCTTGCTGCATTGCCACAGTTCAAGTTCAGTTGGGGTTCTTTCATTGCAAGCATATACCAAGCATAGAGTCCAGCATCCTATTGTCCAGATAAGTTCAACGGCTTCTTGTGGAGACCATCTCTGGTCTGAAGGTAGAGCCGGCAGAGTGTCAGCCTGACCAATCAAAAGCCCCAACATAACATCAGCAACAATCCACAATGTCATGGAATTAGTGGACATAGTATTGAGTAACCAATATGTTAAAAAAATACATTTTACAGGTACTATTTTTCATACTGACATCATTTCATCTTAAATTAAGGCAAACATGTGGTATCTAACCTTTTGGGATTGGGTCATTTCTCTTAGCATTATGGTTTCCAGTTGGGCCCATTTTGCCACAAAGAACTGCATCTTATTTTTTTTTTAATAGCTGAGTAGTATTCCATGGAATAGATGAACCAAAGCTTTCTTATCCAATCTTCTGCTGATGGGCATTTCGGTTGCTTCCATGTTTTTGCAATTACTGATTGTGCTGCTATGAACATAGGGATACATGTTGGTTTGTCGTGTACCAGGTGTTTTGGATATATTCCTAGGAGTGCGATTGCTGGGTCATATGGTATGCTGATTTTCAGTTGTTTGAGTGTTCTCCAGACTGATTTCCATAGAGGCTGTACCAGCCTGCAGCTCCACCAGCAGTGCAGTAGGGCTCCCTTTTCCCCACATTCTCGTCAATAAGTGTTGTTGGTGTTTTTGTTTTTTTATGTGGGCCAATCTTACTGGCGTTAGGTGGTACCTCATCGATGTCTTAATTTGAATTTCCCTTATTGCCAGGGAAGTGGAGCAGTTTTTCATATGTTTGTTTGCCATTTGGGTTTGCTCCTTTGTGAAATGTCTGCCCATTTCCCATGCCCATTTCTTGAATGGCTTGTTTGTTTTGGTATTTTGGCTATTTTGGAGTTCTTTGTATATTCTGGAGATTTGCCCTCTATCCCCTACATAGTGCTCAAAGATCTCCCATTCTGTGGATTGTTTTTTTACTTTGCTGATTGTTTCCCTTGATGTACAGAAGCTTCTTAGTTTGATGAGGTCCCATTTGTTTATTTTAGTCTTGATTGCTATTGCTTTTGGTGTCCTTTTTAGGAAGTCAGGACCTACTCCTAGATCTTGCAGGGTATTTCCAACATTTTCTTCCAAGAGTTTGAAGGTTTCTGGATGTAGGTTTAGGTCTTTTATCCATGTATATTTGATCTTAGTGTATGGTGAGAGATGTGGGTCTATCTTTTTGTTTCTGCAGGCTAACAACCAGTTGTTTGGGCACTACTTGTTATAACTTCCCTCTTAACACTGTTTTTTTCTTTTTTTCTTGGATTTCCATTTTGATATCTTCTATGACCCACTGTTTATTCACAAGACCACTATTCATTCTTCATGTGTTTCTTTTCTAGAGTTCTTTTGTCATGTTAATTTTATATCATTTAATGTTTTAACATTTTTTGAGATTTCTTTTATGGCCCAATATATGGTCTAGCCTAGAGAGTGCTTTATGTTTTGATGAAAAGAATGTGTATTCTGCAGCTGTGGAATAGAATGTTCTATAGATCTCTGATCTTTAGTATAGTGTAGCTTGGTGGCTTCTTTGTTGGTCTTTTTTAAGTCCCCCATTATTATTAATTGGAGTTTCTGTCTTCTGTCATGTTCATTAATATTTGGTTTGTAAAACTGTATATCCTAGCATGGGGTGCGTTCATATTTTATTATAGTCACATCTTCTTGCTGAATTTATCATTCAATCAGTACACAATGAGCTTGCCTCTTTTTAAAGTTTTTATATTGGAGTCTATCTTGTCTGGCAGAGCACAGATACTTCTGACTACTTTAGATTTCCATATGCATGGATCTTTCCCCATCCTTTTGTCTTCAGTTTGTCTGTATCCATTTCTTTTTTGTTTTTTTGTTTTTTAAAAGAGATTTTATTTTTATTGGAAAATCAAATATACAGAGAGGAGAGACAGAGAGGAAGATCTTTCATCCGTTGATTCACGTCTCAAGCAGCTGCAGCAGCCAAAGCTGTGTCAATCTGAAGCCAGGGGCCAGGAGCCTCCTCCAGGTCTCCCACATGATTGCAGGGTTCCAAGGCTTTGGGCTGTCCTTGACTGCTTTCCCAGGCCACAAGGAGGGAGCTGGATGGGAAGTAGGACCTCTGGGATTGGAACTGGCACCCACATGAGATCCTGGCATGTGCAGGATGAGGACTTTAGCCACTAGGCTACCATGCCAGGCCCAGTTTGTATGTATCCTTACTGGTGATGTGCAGGAAGCCATGCAGTTGGATCAGATGGCATGGGTGCGTGGTGAGCACTGCTCCTTGGTTAACAAGGCTATGAGGAATTTCTGGCTGTGTGGCAAGGCCTGGCAGAATGCCTCTGGTCACCTCATTGCTACTTCACCCCATTGTACGGGCACTCAACCACCTCTCTGATGTTTCATAGAATTCTCCTGAGGGTGGTGTTGTTGTTTTCTGCTAATGTGAAATGATTCCTGTAATTGGTATGACACCTCAAACTGATCAATTTTGTTATGGTAAAAGCATCTTTAGCAACTTAAGGCAATGATACACAGCTAAAAGCATACAGTAGTACAATTGATCCCACAATGTCTCCAAACATCCTGTTATGTGCCCACCTTTGCCCTGGAGCTTGCCCTAATGTAAGTATTGTTTTCCTTGAGAAATGGCTTGATAATATCTTGAAACAGATGACAATCATGGAGGCACAAAGAGTTTGTTTACCATGCACCTTGAACACATGAAGTGATGCATTTTGGTTTCTCACCATGGAATGCAGAAACTATATGGGGCATCTTCTAAAAGGAGACAAATGTGAACCCCCACATCCCAAATGGCTTAAAATTTCTGCTTATATTGGCTCTCATATTTAGGGAAAGAAAACAGTGTATAAAGATAAAAAGAAGTTTCTTGTAAAGACCCTCTATTTGCAGAAAGGCTGAGTTGCCCTGATCCCTTTCATTGCCCTTTAATAAAAGAACAAAAAACAATTGAATCAGCACTAGTTGAAGGTGATGGTAATCAATGCATGATTGATTTTAAGATTTGATAAAGAATCTATGTTATATGCTTTTATAAATTCCTTTCATTTGTAAGCTTTCCTTTTAATTCTGTACTCTTGATATTAGTAAGTTTAGGTTTAGTGAAAATTGTTTTTGGATGTAAGTAAACCACTTGTCACTATGTAACTGCATGTGCTGCCAGCCATGAAATTCCTGGCTTCAGCCAGGTCACTGCAGCTTTGAATGAGTAATAGCTTGATAAAAATATTTTCTCTGAAGTAAAATAATGTTTTTTAGGATTGATTTTGTAATCATTCTTTTAGCCATAAAGTAAAAATGAAACAATTGGATGTTGTACAAAAGCTTGTAATGATTTGTTATATAAAGAAGGTAACTTTTCTGAGTTGTCCATTATGTGCATCATGCCATAATGGTCCACGTCTCGTTTGCTCTTCTTGTCTTCTCACCAATCCACACATCCCTCACAATCTCTCAAGTCAGCTGGAGCTGGACTCTGGCAGTGATGTGTGTTTCTTGTAGACAGCTTATGGTTAGGTCTTGTTTTATAATTCATTCAGGATACATCTTTTAATTGGATAACATAGTCCATTTACTTTAAACGCAATGATGAGAAGTATGACATAGTCCTAATTATTAAATATTTCTGTTGCTTCTATGAATATCATTTGTCAAATCAAGAGAGTATCTGCCTCACATTCTTTCATGATACTTTCTGATTTTATATGAAATACATCATTTTTGCTTTGTTTATTTGTTTTAAAGATTTATGTATTTTTATTAGAAAGGCAGATCAGATTTGTGGAGTGAAGAAACAGAAAAAAAATCCTCCATCTGCTGATTCACTCCCCAATTGGCTGCCAACAACAGGAACTGAGCCAATCTGAAGCCATTATCCAGGAGCTTCTTTCAGTTCTCCCACGACAGTGCAGGATCCCAAGTCTTTGGGCCATCCTCCACTGCTTTTCCAGGCCACAAGAAGGGAGGCAGAGGAGAAGCAGAGCAGCTGGGACATTAACCGGCATCCTTATGGAATCTTAATGCTTGCAAAGTGAGAATTTAGCTATTAAGCCATGGCACTAGGCCCTATACAATACTTTTTAAGTATCATTTGTGGGGTTGACTAAGCAGTGACAAGTTTTCAAATCTTTGCTTCAATTTTTTGGATTATTTTCAAGCATTTTTGTTAATCTCCTCTTCTTCACAGACTGGTATTAATGGATTATTGTGTTCCTATTTGGGAGTTATAGTCCCTTGCTTTTGCTATTTCTTGTAGTTCTATGTGGATTTTTGCACATCTGAAGGATCTCTTGTTTCTATCTCTTCATCATGCTTTTTGTTTTGTTCTTGTTAAAGGTTTTGTTCTTCGAATGTGCCTCCATGGCACAAAGCAGTGTCTAAAGCTTATACCTGAGTACCAGGGTTATGTGTTGGGTGGGATCAGAGAGCTCTGTCTGCCATTTGTCTGTGATGCAGGACAATAGTGTCCAAGTACCTCTGGCTGTTATCAATGGAAGAGGGAATGTTCAAGCTGACAGCCCCAGCCTTTGTCTGTGTCAGAACGACCCCAGTGATTTACAGCTTACAGTGGGTTTACAGTATACTTCATTCACCAAGCTGTGTGCAGGATTCAGAACATGGGCTCACTCCCGACTGTGTCTTCTGACTCCACTGTGAGATCTGTGCCCAGTGTTCAGGGAACTCTGAATCTTCCACAGTCAGAATGGGTTGGTGCTCAGGAACCAAGCCATGTCTTGCAGTTTTTCTAGCTCTATGGCTGTGTCCTGAACTCCCGCACTCACAGGGTGAAGAGGGTCTGCTCACTGTCTTATAAGTTGCCATGCCTCTGGTAGCAGTGGGAATGCTTGCTGTCACCTGAGTCAGGCAGAACTCAGTAGAAACACTCCACCACATCAATTGACGCTGGTACTTTGGTGTGGGAGGAGATGAAAGCAATGCCACTTCCTCTACAGAGCACATCCATCTCCCAGACACCTGTTTAGGTCATCTCTCCAGGCTGGATTTAAGTCAGTGAAGACTGCAAATTTTTTTCCTCCTACATTAAACCTGCTGGCACTGGCCCAGATGGTAGCCTAGTGACTAAAATCCTCACCTTGCACATAGTGGGATCCCATATAGGTGCTGGTTCTAATTCTGGCTGCTCCACTTCCCTTCCAGCTCCCTGCTTGTGCCTGGGAAAGTAGTCAAGGACAGCTTGAAGCCTTGAAACCCTGTGCCAGCATGGGAGACCTGGAAGAAGCTTGTGACTCCTGGTTTTGGATTGGCTCAGCGCCAACCATTGTAGCCACTTGGGGAGTGAACTGGCAAACAGAAGAGTTTTCCAACAAAAACTGCTGGTGGCAGGGCCATGGCAGCTTCTTCCTTCTTTATCTTAGGAAAATGGTATTTTTCAGGGAGAGCTTGTTCAACATATGCAATGGTGCCTGATGGTGAGGCTGGCAGTGGCATCATGTCTATTTCTTTATTTTTGCTTTACTGCCAATAGGGGTTGTTCTTAAAATTTCTTTCACTTCTCTGGGAGCCTGGCCTTCCCTTGTTTTCTGTTATCTCTCTGTAGCTGATGTCAGTGTGACTTCTCACCAGTTAGCCATTTTGAATCTACCTTGTTTCTAATCTTAGGGATGATGTATTCAGCCTTTCAACATAAGTATAGAGTATCTGTGAATTTTTTTTTCAGATGTCCTTGATTAGGTAAAGGATGTGTGATTATGTTTACAATGAGTGGTGAATCTTTATTTTTCAAATCCTTTTTTTTTCCTGAATCTACTGGAAGCATCATGTGGTTTTTGTCCTTTGCTATCACTCTGCTTCCTTATATTCATTGACTTTCATGCTAAAACAACCTTGCAATTTTGGAGTGAATTCCGTTTGGTCATTCTTAATAATCCAGTTTACATGTTAAGGTATTATCATTTTATAAATCTATTCAAATAAAAAAATAAAATTTACTTTCTGTTATACTGTAAAACCACTTATGAAAACCTACATTTTCCAGTATCTTTTTGTTGTTGTTGTTGTTGTTGTTGTTGTTGTTGTTCTGAGGGCGTAGGGCTTCTGCTTTAAGTTTAAAAATATATAAATAAATGACATCTTTTAAAAACACAATATATTGACAATTGGCATCAGAAATATGACAAGCTAAAAAGAGTGATCATGTATTTACAGTTCAATTTTTTTCCAGATATCCCCCTAATGCATAATGCTTTTCAAAGGAATACATCAGAGAAAATAGTCTAATCTACACTATTTGGGAAAGATTCAAAAATCACAGACTTAGACTGCCCTCTGAAAAAATGTTTCCTTATAAATCAAAAAAAATTTTTATATCAAATGTTTTATGACCATTCTGGCTAATTTTTCTTGCCTTCTTTAGTCCAAAAAGAACTTTAAATTATTTTAATATAGTCTACAATTTGACAATGATGCAAAAATAACTCTCATAACCTGACTGCTCCGATATTACTTTGCAGCAGTGATAGAGGATTTAAATGTTGTGAACCAGTTCTAGCAAGTTAAAGGAGAATTAGGATGGCACGAGTCCCTGGGAACTTGAGGACTGCTAGGTTCTCTTCAACACAGGTATTTTTGAACCCAAATCAATGTCCTGATTTTTATTCTGTTTTACGTGTCTCATTCTTTCCAGACCTTGACCCACAGGCATTGGCTATAGACCCTCCCTTCAACATGGATAGAGTGCTTTGTGTCCAGACTCTGTTACACCCTTAAGGATGAGTTTCACTTCTGTCCAGAATATTTTGGAATACCACCTGAATTATTTTAGTGGATCTTTCTGGTGTCTTCTTGCCGATAGGTAGGTAAGTTTCTGTTCCCATTCTAAGATGAGACATTGTACCTGACTGTCAGAAGTTCCACCTAAGGCCAATTGATTCAAAACAGCTAGATCCAGAATGGCTGTCAACATGACCTCAAACTGACTTCAAGCTTCATCATAATCCCATTTTCACTCTAAAAGTCACTCCTGTCAGTTGACGTGTTTATGATAAGCAGCAGAAAAAAAAAACATAAAAAGACAAGAAGAAGGTGGCTCCTCAATTCCAGGAATTACAACAGCACTTTCCCAGAAAAGGCATGACTCTCCTTCCCACGTGTTAGTGTATTCCTTCCTCTCATTCCAGTGCACTGTATCTCTGAGTAAGCACATGCCCTTCAAAACAGAGAGAGAAGTTGAGTGGTGAGCCAAGCTCCAGATTTTCCATCCCTCTATATTTTGAACACTAAGTGAAAGTTGTGTTGTTGATACTCAGCTCTGGTTTTCTTGCAATAGCAAATGAACAAAAGACCCCGTTTCAGGGTCCCAGGTCCTAGAAAATGTGGTAGCAATCTGGATTGCAAAATTTCCTTGTTCTCTTTCCTGTCAAGGTTGCTCTCATTTCCCTAACAGCCCCAAATTCAGTATTGGTACCTTTACTAAGGCCAGATGAGCTATGGCTATATCCAGGGAACATCTTCAGAAGCTGCAAGGCTTAGGTCTACTGACTGTGCAGAGAATATACTGATGTTTGGGAAACTCCATGTTCTTAGCTGTCTTGGTTTTCTACCTTCAGGCTTTCTAAGCAAATCAGGGAAGGCCTGTGAGATGTAAAGTAAAGCACAGTCTTTCAATTGAGGGGTAGTAGTCTTCCAATCCACTTAACCAGACTACAGATCAGAAAGCCAACTCAGCATCCTGCATTCTACTGGGCAATATTAGGTTTCAATAGTAGCTGCCCATGTGTAACCAAGCTAGGCACTGGCCCAGCAAACTAAATCCAGAATATAATCAGGGAGGTAGGCTTGCTTGAAGTGGAAGCTGGAAGGAATTAATGACTTCTCATGAGTAAAGGCAGTACTGCCAGGAAGAATGGAATATAACCTAGGAGCAGGGGCATCATCAAGTGTCAGGATGCCAACCCTCCCTGCAGCTGTTCAACACTGCCATGCCTCATGCTTTGCTTGTGGAAGCCTGGCATTGGACCTGGTCCCTCAGAAGCTTTCAAAATGAAAGAGACATGACTACAATGTGAAGTGAAATATCCATGACAGCTAACCTAAAAGGCAAGCACTTAAGAAAAGCTTGCGGTGAATTTTCCAAGGAGGAATTTGTATGTCTGCCTGCCTCTTAATGAGTGTGTCTGCTTCTTTCTTGAGTGCTAACCAAGTGAACATCTGCACAGCAGAAGACGGAACAAGATGCCTAGTGGAAGCCCTCAGGGGAATGCTGTTGATTGGAAGTGTTTTTGCCCCTTTAAAAAATGAATCTGGATTAGCGAAGGTTCATTTTTTATTGATAGTAAGAGACTTAGTTATATGGTCAAAAGTTCTCTTCCACTAAGGAACTCCTAAGAAATTTCTTGTTGTGGGAATTTGAAAAGCCACTTCCTCCCAAGTCCTCTTGTTCTACAGTAATGATTCCAAGTCATGCCTGCCATAGAGGGAGATTGTCCCTCTGCAGTTTCCCATGTTATTATGCATTTTGTCATTGTTTACATAATGTGCAGGCATATAAGACAGGTACATAAGGGATTTTAAAATGTTTTCAAACATGGAATTAAAAGGTAGAAAATAAAAATATCAGAAGATGGAGAACAGAACAAATTGATCAACTACCCTAGCCAAGTGTTGACAGTGAATACGTGAGCTAACAGAGACTCTAAGGTGGACTAAGTCAGCCAGTGTACTCTGGAGAGATTTCTTCATGCTTGGAGTGGTGAGATTGGTGGTAATTCAGAACTATTGGACTATGAAAACCTCTTGAGCAGGATCCTCCGAGTTTGCCCCACACCGGGGACCCTGGGGTGGTTTCGGGTGAATGCCCTCCATCCCAGTATGTACAGGCCTTTGGGAGGCTGGATGTGGCTTCTTTCCTTGTCTCCCCTCTTTTCCCAGATACAGGAAGGAAAATAAAGAGAATGTGGAAACAGTGATCTCACCCACCTTCCTGTAACCCTTGACCCTTATCGCCCTAATCAACTATGTAAAAATCATCAAAACTAAAAATAATAATAAAAAGAAATTAAAATATAAACTTTATTTGTTAACATAAATTCTGTTAAGACGCTTTTGTAAGTGATGACATCTTTTAGGATCCTGAAGTTTAATCATCTCAATCTAGTAATTTTTACATTGTTAAATGAAGAAAAAAATGTATGCCATTGAAAAAACTTTTTAAAGAAGAATCAAACAGAAAAAGAAGTCAGAAGGAGCCAAATCAGCAGTTTAAAGCAATGTCTGTTTCCCACAAAACTGCCACAAAATTGCCGTTGTTTGATGAGAGGCATGGGCAGGATTGTTGCATTGGAAGAGTCTCTGGTGAAGCTTCCCCGGGTATTGTTCTCTAAAACATTGACTAACTTCCTCACAAACACTCTCCTAATAAGCACATATTACAGTTGGAGTAATCAATTAGTGTAATGCCTGGAGGAAGCCAAAAGCTATTACCATGTCTTTCTTTTTTGTCTAAACTACTTCACTTGGTAAACAACATTTTGATTATGTTTTGTCTTCAGGTAAAGCCATGTTTCATCTCTTCTTAGTTCTGTAAAGAAATACTTTAGAATCTTAAAACCCAGTTGTTTAGAGAAAAGCTGTTTTTGTGTGCAGCTGGTCTGGACAAGATACTTTTGGCACCCACTGAGCAGAAAACTTACTCCACTTCAGTTTTTCAGTTGGGGTTGTGTAAACTGAGCAACTGAGATGTCTAACATGTTGGCTGTTCCTTCTGTTATCATCAGTCCTCCCCAAGAAGAACATGAACAAAATTATCTTCTTTTTCTACCTAAATGATGTGGATGGTCTGCCTCAATGGACTTCAGCTTCAACATCACCTTGTCCTTTCTTAAAACAAGCTACCCGTGTATAAATTTAATTTCCTGGGGTTTCAGTGACTTCCCCAGTCTGTCACCCAAGCTTCACCATTAATATAGTGTTTATTGAGGGGCAGCTTTCCTCTGTGTCAGACAAGACTTGGCATCATTGGCAAATTTACTTTGGGGAATTGGCATTAAAATGAAATCCATGTACCAGTCAGACAAATAGGATCAAGAAACAAAGTCACACATCTACATCAAATGTTTTGCGACAAACATGTAAAAAATATACATTGGCAATGGAAGCACCAACATTACAGATTTCTGGTTAAGCTGGCATGTTTGTCAGATCAGATTCCATATGGGTGCCAGTTAGAATCTCAGCTGCTCTGCTTCTGATTCAATTTCTTGCTAAAGTGTCTGTGAAGCAGCAGAAGACGGTCTAAATGCTTGGACACCTATCCTGACATGGGAGACCCACAAGAAGTTCCTGGCTTCTGATTTCAGGCTTTCTTAGCCCTGGCTATTGGGGTAATTGGGGTGTAAACTCACTGATGGAAGATTTTTGTGTGTGTGGTGTGTGTGCCGTACGTGTATCTGCAACTGAACCTTTTTTTAAAAGAGAGAGAGAGAGGGAAAATTTGATATCCGCATACAAAAGAGTCACACAAAAGGGTTTCCTGACCAGCAGGCCCCAAGACCACTGAGGGGTGAGGCGATGGTGTTCTGCTGCCAAGAACAACTGGAAGCAACTAGTGAGGAATGCTCGTTTATTAGGGAGGACTTACAAACTTGTATAGAGAACAAGGGGGAAGGCAGAATGGTAGTCCCAACAACACTCCAGCCAGCAATCCTTGTCATTAGCCAATAGGCATGCCTGTCTGGACCTCCAATCACAGATCATGTTCTGCACACAAGGGTGGAAACTGTGCCTCAAGGCAGGGGCAGGTAAGCTGAGATTCATGTGAGCAGAAATGCTAGCACCTGGGCTGAAAGCTATGCCTTGGGGTATATTAATCACACATGGCTGATGAACAGAATAAATTGCACTAACCTACACTTACTTGTTGGAGAAGTCCTAACGCAGCTTGTCCAAGGACAGAGAAGCGAGGCTAGGGTGCAGCCCACCACTTTTGCTTCATGCCCAGTGAACAGGCCAGGTTGAGGTCTCCTTTAGCCAAGACCATTGTCAGGAGGTTCCCTCGGGACACAGTGTGCTGTGTGCCTAAGACCTCCCACAAGGACTAAGCAGAGATCCAGGGGCGATCTCCCACAAGTGAAACTAGATTCCTGTCTCCTACTATGTATGAAATCAATTAAAACAGGGTTATGGAACCGGGTAGGCACCTGACAGGTTTTGGAAAGCGTTAATGGTGAGATTTTCCTGTGTACATCACTTGGCTTCTAGTTCCTGCTGCATTTCATGTGTTTTCTTGTATCTACCCCA